TAAAATTTAAAGGAACGGTTTATATTTAATGATAATGTAATTAGTGATTATTAGTTATTATGCTTGGATGAGAAGAATTCAGTAGCATTAATTGGTGATTAATTGGTTAAATTGTTGTGGATCTTTTGATTTTTTGGTTTCTTGAAATTTTGTCATCCAAAAAAAAGGAAATTTTTTTATCATAACATATAAAAAAAAGGCAAAAAAAAAATTTATTAATAAAACCAGTTTGCAAACCCGTTAACCGGGTTGCAAACTAAAAATCCAGATCGGTTTGCAAATCAGTTTATGCCAAAATCTAGATTGGTTTCGATTTGCAATATGGCTTGAACTGAAAAACCGGTTCGGTTACAAAAAGCACATATCCGGTTCGGTTAACTAGTTTTTTGCAGTCCTAGCTGACGTAGACTCTCGTTAGCAAGAGCTAATCAAGGTTCAAGAAGGTTTTGTGTCATCCAGGTACTGCCACGTCGTGCAATAATGCAAGTGGCATGGTTCTTGTTAGTGCAGTAGGTGAGTGTTAGGCTTGTAAGTGGTTAGAAATTAGCCACCTACCCAAGCCCTGCGCAATTTGAGGATATTTCTCGTGCAGACTACCAATAGGATGAAAAGAAGGATTTGCACAGCACCTACTCACTTGCAGACTTATAATCATTACCTTGAACTCTCCCACTATAAATTGAGGACACCCCTCTCATTTACAGGATTGGCTAATCTTAGTCTAAAATAGCTTATGAATTCTCTCTCCCTCTTTTTGTATTCTCTCTAGATTATAACCCAGGTTGCTGCACACGACCTGATCTTACCCATCTATTAATACAATAGCAGTGGACGTATGATTCGCTTTTGAGCATCTGAACCACTTTAAATATCATTTCTTATTCACTGCATCATGTCATCTTCCTTTATCACATGTGATTTCCTAGTCCGCTTAGCACTTTATACATGCAAGTCGTTAGTGTCAAAATCAAGCATCAACAGTTTGGCACTAGAAAGAGGGTGAGCAAAGAGTCGATTGGCGAGGTGCCTATCCACTTGCAGACTTGTAATCATTACCTTGAACTCTCCCACTATAAATAGAGGACACCCCTCTCATTTGTAGATTGGCTAATCTCAGTCTAAAATAGCTGATGCATTCTCTCTTCCTCTCTTTGTATTCTCTCTAGATTATAACCCAGCTCGCTGCATGCAACCTGATCTTACCTTTCTATTAATACAATAGCCATGGGCGTAAGATTCGCTTTTGAGCATCCGAACCACTTTAAATATCGTTTCTTATTCACTGCATCATTTCATCTTCCTTTGTTATGTGTGATTTCTAAGTCCACTTAGCACTTTACACGTGCGAATCGTTGGTGTCAAAATCAAGCATCAACAATATATATATACCACATGAATTCCATGGTGAAAAATGAAACACTTACGTCATCCACAGCAATGATATATCACAATCGAAGCAATAAACATAATCAACATGAGGAGAAACCAAAATAGCCTTCAAATATAAGTTAGTGGGAGAAAGAAAAACAATCAAATATGAGTTACTTTTCCTCTACAAATACTTATTTCAAAACCCTAGAGACAGACAACCAAGATAACCAAAGACGCATTGAAAAAATATTTTCAAAAGCATACAATAACATTTTTAACCAAAAAGAAAATAACAAAAGAAGAATATTACCTACAACGTTTTCCTCAGGGTTTTTGTTGTTTGGTTGTCATCGACGATTTATCTATTGTAAATGTAGTTGTAAACAAGCATCTGTCTTCTATTGTTGCCACTTTCCTAGGGTTTTTTCTCTCTCGCCATCGACGGTTTGTCTATTGTATCACTGCTGCAAATAGCCTTCACTCTTTCGTTGTCGCTAGTGTTCCTTCACTCAACGGCCACTGATGCCAGCTCCCTTAGTTTTTGTCCTCACTCGTCGACGATTTGTCCAACGTACTATAGCCGTAAACACCCTTCACTTGTCAACTTTCATTGGTGCTCCTTTAATCATCCTCCACAGTCGCCAATTCCCAAGGGTTTTCTATGATATCTTCTCGTTGTCGATGGTATGTCGTCAATAATTTCTTTAGTTATAGAGAATGAAAACATAAATGACGTTTCATTTTCTGTATTGCGCTCGCTAGGTCAACTGTAGTGGACACATGATGACCATGCAACTGAAGCTTCTAAGAGAAGCTTCGCTACAAAGATCAAGCCATAAATTTTAAATTCAAAGATTTTTTTTGCTGAATGAAAAATTACTCCACTGTCCTTCTTCAAACAGAATTCACTAATAGATATGGACAAAAATGGGATTTTTGTTATTTTCAAACTTTTTAGGTAGTGAATTGTCTTTAGGGCAAACTTCAAGTGGAAGGATGTCGTTCGGTCTATTGGTAGACCACCTGAGATGAAAAAAGTTTGAGCAAACAACATGTTCGTACCCCAAGATTAACGAAATGACAAGTTTCCACCCCTGATTTTTTTTATTCCATATTCTCAACCTTAAAGTAATAAAAAATTGTTCAATATGACGGTCAAAGAGTAAAGTGGTCATTTTGCACTACGTTAAATTTGAAATGAAAATGAAAATTTTAAAATAACCATCCACATCCCCAATTTCGCTCACAGCCACAGCCTCCCATTTTCTCAACTCACCACCATTGTCGGTGCTGACACCAGCCGTTTTTCATGGATCCCTATTGGACTTCTCACCCAAATCAACATGATTCACGACCTTCACCCCAAATCAAAGATTTTTCTAGCCTAACTGCCCGTTTTGGCCAGAATTTCACCATTCCTACAACCCCACCCGCGTGACTGTCGCTTTTAGGCCAATCGGCCTAATTTTGGCGCTGTTAAACCTGTCGCCACCACCATCAGCTACCTCATCCTCTCCACACCAAAACCCCTATATTCCCCACCTCACTACCCAAGCAAATCGTCAGCCGCCACTAGGTTTGTGTTCTCGCGGCCTCTTGCTTCTTGGCTAGATTCCCATTGTTCCTGGTGCCAAAAACTCCATTTGCCTCCACCATTAACAACACTGGTATCTCCTTAACAAAACCCCCATCTCATTAGGCAGTGGTTGCTCACTGCATTTTCCAGTCGCGTCGCACATCTCACTATAGCGGTACGCCTATCTCATCGCTAGCTCTATCACACACCTGACCCTCACCACCTATCACCCTTCGTCTTTCCCAACCCCCATGATCTTTGGCGCCATTTGGTCGAAGAAGTTGGTTTGTTGTTTGTGGTGTTAGATTGACAATTGATTTTTAGTGATTTGCAAAAGTTTTTGAGTTTGCTTGTGTGTTGTTAGTCAAGTGTTTGCTTGGGTTTTTTTTTTGGTGATTTTTCTGTTTTTCCACCATTCCCATCTCATTTCCACAGCCCCCACCTCCCAACGCTCACCAAATGTTTGACAAAATGCAACACCCCCCCCCCCCCCCCCCCCCCCCCCTAAGTCGCTCGCCTTCCCCTTATGTGTGTGGCCCTAAACACGAGCGCCTCTATCTACGTGCAACCCAATGTGCCGAGCACCCAATGTTTGTGCGACTAATGGGTGATCTTGGGTGGTTTGAATAAAAGAAAATTTAGAGAGTTGTGTGTTTGGATTAAAGAGGTGTTGGTGAAGGAATTTGAGATGTATAAGATTTTCTTGAAATTTTATTAATTTGGCTAATGTAAAATGGCAACAGTGGTTGTGGCGACAGTGCTAGGTGGGGGCGGCAGTGACAGTGGCTGGGTGATTGGAGATAGATGATGCGAGGTTGAAGAAAAGATGTTATTGAAATAAATTTGAAGTAACAAGGTTTTTTTTCTAATTCTACTATTTTGGGAGTTAAAATTAATTTTAATTTAATTTTCACGGACAATATGGTAATAGCACACTTTCCATTTGTGTCAAAACCTAAAAATCGCTAACGTTGTTATTTTAAGGGTGGGAATCTAGAACAAATGAAACCAAGGATAGAAATTTGCAATTTTGCTAATCTTTAGGTGTGAACACATCGTTTGCTCTAAAAGTTGAAAAGTTGAAACGAGACAAATTTTCAGGAAAAGCCATCTGTGAGGTCTCCTCAAACAAAATAATAACGGCTTCGTTTGGTTAGTTATTTAGAATAGCATTCTATGTTAAATAGCATTTTCGGAAAATAGGATAGGATTCTGAAAAGTTTTTTGTACATTTCTAAATAGCATTTTCTGATAATTTTTAGATTATTTTTAATCTCTTATGTTTGTTAATTTAAATAAGCACCCCCAACAATAAAAGTTTATAAATTGACAAAAATACTCCTATCCATCCATATATTGCCGGCAACCTACCACTACTGCCAGAAGGTGGCTAGAATTTGTCAGAATGACGCAAGACTAGCTAGATATGGTCGGTATCTAGCTGTTAACAGTCATATCTTGGCCATCGTTTGGCCGTAGATTTGGCTGTTTCTGACCAAATCCATGGTGGATCTGGTAAAAAACGAATAGATCAATACACAACCGATCTGATCCAGTTAGTAGTGCATTGTTACAATGCCGACGAACAGTGGTGGCTATTGGCAAGTGATAGTGGTTCGGGTGATTGAGGGTGTTTTTGTTAATTTTGAAACTTTTATTAAAAAAGATAATTATTAATGTTTTGAGTTGAATAAGATAGGATTGGATTTTAAAAAATATTAAAACAAATGCATTTTTGAGTTATTAGGATAGGATAGTGGGAGAAGAGTGTGCCAAACGGATCCAACAATATTAACAAAAAAATAATAATAATAATAAATAAACAATCATCTCCTTGGTATTGATTTAAATAAATCCATGAAGTTGTGTGGCATATGAAAATTACCATTAACAAGGTAAATTACTTCTAGGCATAAAAGTAGCACAGTTCTTTACATGAAAAAAATTCTTTCTGAATATACAGATGCGCATTTAAAGTAATCGTATAGTGACCTATTCTCCTTTCTAACTATCAACAAACTTTCTTTGATGAATCCAGTAATGACTTCAGTTGGTGTGCATTTCTCTTTCAATGGATTAGCCGGTATCCAAGCACGAAACTGATGAATGCCACCATGCAAACAAACAGAAGAGGAAATCCCACCTGAACTTTCTTCACAACAGTTTTACTCCTTAATACTTCCTGAAAAAATGCAGGCAATTGTGCAAAGTTATTAACAAGTGCATCACCAAAAAAGTAGACAAGAAGCACTGGAGGCTATAGCTGAAATCCGACTGTGGAAGTAAACAATCAGTCATCAGGAACATTTATATAAAGAACTTACTAATTCTGCCTGCAACATTTTTCTCTCTTGAAAGCTTAATCTCCTCTCCTCTGTGAGCTTTGAAATAGTCACCTCGGCCTGCAAAAAGAAGCTCTCAAAAGTTGATTATCATCTTATAGCAACTTCAAGGTGCAGCAAGACAACCAAAAGAAAAGTTAATACCACAAAGTGATATTTATACGAGAAATAAAACTATTATTGTTTAAATGGAGTTAAAGGAAATGAGTGCACTTGGAGAAATGACTTAGAAAATGTAATGATCCTCAACGCCGTTGTCACTTCCAATCTAATTATGAAGAAAATAGAGCCACTTCAGATAACATAAGAAACAAAATAAAAGTCCCCAATATCCATGAGCTGCTTAACATGCCTAGAGTTTTCGATCCTAAGGAAAGCGATTTTTTATTTTGAATATGCACCAAACAAGCTCATTTCTCATTCTAAACCACTAGTACTGATTTTAAAAAAACTGAAGATATCAGGATGTGGAAGAATAAAATACTCAGTACGAGTACGAGAGTTTCACCATCCGCATGTGAAACAGCCCCTCCCCACTCGCCATTTCTATTTTCCAAACAAAAAAGAAACAAAAGCATCCAAAGAGCAAGAGACCTATCTCTTTTTACAAATACCAGAGTAAAATTTAGTTTAACTAATGAACTGGACAGAAACAAAAAGGCCAAACGGTACATGTGCCATGATTTATGTAAAATATTTCAAAAAACTTTCACAAGAGAGAGAACACTACAAACCAACCTCATTTAGCTTTGATTCAAGTTCATGTAGTTTTGACTTCATGTCCTCGATGTCTGTAACTAACTTCAGCTCCTCAACAGTCTTTTTTGCTTTAGACTCAACTTCCCTCATCAGCTTCAACTCTGCATCCTTTCTTAACTGTAACTTTTCACCATCATCCACCTCCTCGGATAGATTCAACTCTATATCATTTTCTGTCTTTAACTCCTCACCAACAGGAAGATCCTTCCTTGGCTTCAACTCAGCATCCCTTACTGACTTTAATTCCTCATTGTCAACAACATCCTTCAGAGGCTTAAACTCTACATCTTTTTCTGGCTTTATTTCCTCCTCATAAACGACATCCTTCCTAGGCTTCAACCCTGCATCCTCGCTGTAAGCATCCTTCCTAGGCTTCAATTCTGCATAATTTGCTGGCTTTAACACCTCACCGTCAATAGTATCCTTCCTTGGCTTTAATTCTTCAACTTTAGCAGGTTTTAATTCCTCGCCATTTACCATCTTGGATCCCTCCACATTCTTAGTAGCCTGGCACACAAGAAAGAGCGTCAAGATGATATTGTATCCATGTATTCGTTATAAATGCACTAATGGACACAAGAGACGAAAAGAAAAGTCATAACATGCATTACATTTGAACAACAGACTCAAAGTTTCACCTACCAAACTACAAAAATGGGTTAGATAACATGAAAAATGACATCAGTGTTCAGTTGTTTTTCAGGTTCATACAGCACGTAGTGAAGGAGAGAAAGAATCAGCAAATCCAACATTCTTGAGAAAAAAGAGTTTTTCTAACCATATCTGATGGGGTGAGGATTTGAACTCTCGATACTGGATCTTCCAGTATAGAAGCTTCATAAGCTAGACCCTGCTTCAATGACCCGTTAATTGGTGACAATACTGGTGAATTAGGTGGGCTGATAAGGGTCACCTTCAGCTTATTCTCTTGAATGTACCTACCATCATCTCTGGCAAACTGCCATGCAAAACAATGAGAAGCCACAGGAAAGAATCAAGCTAACTACTACTGCACGCACTTACCATGCTAGCTGTAATGTCCTCATCAGTTGTCCCAACGGGCACAACTGTGCTTTGGATTAAAAACTTGTCTTTGCACACCATATCTGGTGGAGCTACCCCTTGGGCTTGCATTGTGACTACATTAACATCAAATGGGAAAGGACTAAAATTATAATAATAAGATTGAGAATAACACACAGTTGGAAACTATGATTAACAGAATAAAAGTTGAATGATTAAACAATAACAAGAGCAACATCATCTGAGAGCATCGGCATACTCTTATTCCTACGTCACATCAATATCCTCCAATCACTTACTGAGTGATTCAAACCAAGTTTCATAAATTAAGTAATTTTACATTTTCAAAGTTAAATCACTTGTGGTAAGTCATGGGCTAAAGTCTTTATGGCAGGGCAATCACTATCTTTTTAAAAGGTTTTTCTCAAAGGAAATTAGTAAAAAGTTATTGACAGATTCACAGTGAGAATCCGTTCAAAAAAAACTTATGTATCAAACTCCCAAAACTTTAGCCCACATTCCTCATTTTCCCTCCCCTGCCCCAATTTTTCTCTCTGTGAACTGACTTCACTGACAGAAATGCTTGACATCCATCATATGATATTTATACGACCTGCATCTAAGAGAAACATTGTATTTTCTCTTAACAACATGACAATCGTGGTAAACCTAGACAGAAGCAATTATCTCCCAAAATGACTCCAACTTAGCAGCCACTAATAGCTTTGCAATCCATAACATTAAGCATTCAAAAAGTCAATGATGACTCATATTCACTTGTGAACACACATACGCACAGATCAATAAAGAACTTCATAGAATATAAAAGGCCATACCAGTAAAATCACAAGCAGATTTTGGCATAACAATGCCTACATTTGGTCGTACGCAGTATTTCTTAGGGGAAGTAGTTTTCACCTGCCAATATCAAGCCTAAATCATATCACTATCTGGCATTCAGTCTAATCAAACAAAACTTGCAATGGTACTCTCGGAGATTGAAACATAGTACAAATGTTATTCACACCTTGAAAGCAACGTAATTGTGGGTGTTATTGGTAAGCTTAACTGAGCATGAGCTTTGCTTTTTCAGTACAACTGCAAAATAATAGTTATTTAAAAAAAAAAAAAAAAAAAACAAAGCAAGATTGGTCAGTCAATCGCCTTCCCATATGATCAAACAATCGTAACAAACAACACCAGAAAAACAACCATTAAATCTAATCTGCATATTCTTAATGATATTCATCTACAATGATATATATTGTTAAAATAATCAGCACACCCATTTCTTAGAAACCACAGCTCTCCTTCACTGCAGAAAGTTTGAGAGAGAATTTAAAGACTAATACTACGATACAAACTAATCATTTGCCTTGGCACAATGAGTGAATACCACATAATCTATATAATTCATATAATTCACGTATAATCTTCACTCATTATCTTATATCTTATGAATTAGTCAAAAAAAAAAAAAAAAAAAGTCCACTAAAAGCACTTTGTAATTGTAATATCACTCAAATTAAAATTAACAATAAGAAATTATACATTTAATTGTTTCAGCTGGTTAAAAGAATAAAATTATTTACAATTTTCCTCAGTCATATAGAGCTTCTTTACCTATAAAGTAAAACTCCGTAATTCATACATTTCCTTGATCTTCTTAGAAATCAAACACAACACCAAATCTTTTTTAATAATAATTACGGAATCACTAAAACACTACATGAATGACCCACAAAAGAGAAACGAAGAAATGACTGATCCGTACGGACCCTCTATTTTATGGACTTACATATGAATTTGAGTTCTTTAGGTTGAATTTCCAAAAGTTGTTTATTCATCTTATTTGTCCCAATTTCAAAACCAATCTTCTCAGCAATGCTATATGCCCACTTATATTAATCAGTTGCCCTGCATAATCAAATAAATTGATACATAATTATAAACAAAATCACTACAAAAATTGTAAAGTTTTGGCCAATTTATAAACAAAAAGAGAACAGAAATGGTAACCCAGTTTTTGCTTTCGCAAATCAAAATCAGAAAATGGATTGACCTTTAAATCGACACTGAGTCAAAACCATTGACTCGCTTCGCGCTCGGGAAAAAGATCACGTAAAATAAAATAAAAACGAGAGCAAGTTCAAACAGACCAGATTACAGAACTCAATAGTAGAGCCAGAATCGTCATCTCCTGTGAATTCGGTACTTGGCTAAACTCTAAAACTGAGTTAATTGTATTCAAATCGTGATAAAAAAACGTTAAAATTAATAAGTAAAACGACAACACTTGAAATCACAAGAAACAGAGTAACTTTTTAAAAAAAAAAAAAAAAAGAGTCAATGTCAAAAGAAAAAATAAGAACAAAACTAGTAATGACTCGCTCCCGACTCAGATCGTTTGGTCGACAGAACAGATTGGAAAAATAGTCAACCAAACGAGTCAACAAACTCGAATTCCAACTCAGTTTCAGTTCGGATCATGAGAGAAGAAGGAAATGAAAACCGAAACACAGACACAAAAACCTTGCCATTTAGTCTCTGATACTTTACTCCGACTCAACGAGAACGAGACAAGTAAAACGGCAACGTTGGAGAATCATTCTCTCTACACTCATTAATCATCCCAAACAGACTCAAAACCAGCTAAGATTCCAACTCCGCTCCTTAAAAAATTAAAAAAAAAAAAAAAAAAAAAAAAGGGAAAACGATAACGTTTGAAATTAAAGAATCTTCCTACTTGAATCGATGATCCAGGACAACGAGTGAAACAGAGACATAAACGACGACGCACAACAAGACGAGGGTAGCCTACCTGTAGAAAAGAAGAGTGAACGGAGAAATAGATTAAGGATAGTGAAGTGGTATATATAAAATTATATATAGAGAAAGACAGAGACAGAGGAATTGCGTGAAAGAGCCGTTTAGAGAAGAAATCAAAACGTCAGCGTTTGGTGAGAGCGTGAGAATGAAAATGAAATGGAGAAGATGATGGAGGTGGATGTGGTGAGGAAGATGAATGGAAATTAGAAGTGGAAGTGAAGGGGAAGTGAACGCTAAGTATTTGCAAGTGCAGGCGTTAGTTGTACCCGCCGTTTCTTTCTTTTTTCCTCACCGTTTGGGACAGACAAAAGCTATTTCATTTTATATTTATAATTAATTAAAGTGATTTTGGAAAATAAAACAGGAAAAGTTTGGTGGTATGCCACGTGGAATTTTACTGAGTACGTACGTGTGAACCACTCCTATATTTTTTCCACTTGTCATAAAGTTTAGAGTGAGCATATAATTTATAAAACGGTTGCCTCCAATTCAATTTTTAAGTTCCAACATTTGACTTGTAAATTATAATAAATGATATATAAGAGGTAAAAAATCTTGATATATTACCTAAATGTGTAACGTTGCTTTTGTATTGAATTACCAAATTATGTTGAATTTTTTTATTATTCGTTCATACATAGAAAAAATAATGAAATTGGTTTTTTAATTAAGAAAACCATCAAAATTAAGATACTATAATTTATTTTTCAAAATTGGAAAAATTAATCCAATGCAAATCTGGAATTTTAATATATGTATTATATATCTATTGAACCGACTTTATTATATAATTTGATTATTGTAGGGGCCATTTGATTTATTTGATAAGTTTTTCCTCGCTTTTTCCACGTTTCATTTGCAGGTTGCCATCACCGACTGAAGCAGGATTATTTTGTGTTTTGGCTTTGATATATATATTATTAAACTTAATTTTATATAATTTTAAATAAAAATTAGCAAGTCTTAAATGGGATTGACTTGACATTTCATCTATATCCCTATTCATATATCTTTTTCCTTGTTTAAATTAACCATTATTACACTCAATGGTATGAGTCTATGAGACTCATCCACACGTGTGCAAAGATAGGAAGTTTTATGATGAGGTCATTTATATCAAGATAATTATGAGTAAGTTTATATTCATATCCAACATATACAATCAAGTAATAAGTACACAGATGTCGCATGTCTTTATTAACATATTGGTTGGCATTATATAAACATCATATTTCTTACACTTCGAAAATGAATTACACAAACTCCATGATTGCTATTTGCTTCCTTAAATATTTCTATGAGTTCTTGAATTCGAATCTTCTCAAACACTAATAAGAGTGATGATTGAAGTTTTTTTTCAGCTGACAATTTTAAAGTTTCAAAAAATTAGTTGAGATACGCATAAATTAATTTCAAACACCCCAATATTTAAAAAAAAAAATGTATTACCCCCTTTTAGCTAAGACTTTGAACAACATTCCATGCACGGAGCACATGAAATTTTCATTTTATTAAACAACTTTTGAATCGCTCTTTGATTTGTGTGTCACGTCCCACCAAATTCAATATTATAAAATCAACTTTGGATCTCTAGATATGCTTCCTCTTAAGTAAATCACATTAAANTTTATAAAACGGTTGCCTCCAATTCAATTTTTAAGTTCCAACATTTGACTTGTAAATTATAATAAATGATACTATATAAGAGGTAAAAAATCTTGATATATTACCTAAATGTGTAACGTTACTTTTATATTGAATTACCAAATTATGTTGAATTTTTTTATTATTCATACATACATAGAAAAAATAACGAAATTGGTTTTTTAATTAAGAAAACCATCAAAATTAAGATACTATAATTTATTTTTCAAAATTGGAAAAATTAATCAAATGCAAATCTGGAATTTTAATACATGTATTATATATCTATTGAACCGACTTTATAATATAATTTGATTATTGTAGGGGCCATTTGATTTATTTGATAAGTTTTTCCTCGCTTTTTCTACGTTTCATTTGCAGGTTGCCATCACCGACTGAAGCAGGATTATTTTGTGTTTTGGCTTTGATATATATATTATTAAACTTAATTTTATATAATTTTAAATAAAAATTAGGAAGTCTTAAATGGGATTGACTTGACATTTCATCTATATCCCCATTCATATATCTTTTTCCTTGTTTAAATTAACCATTATTACACTCAATGTTATGAGACTCATCCACACGTGTGCAAAGATAGGAAGTTTTATGATGAGGTCATTTATATCAAGATAATTATGAGTAAGTTTATATTTATATCCAACATATACAATCAAGTAATAAGTACATGGATGTCGCATGTCTTTATTAACATATTGGTTGGCATTATATAAACATCATATTTCTTACACTTCGAAAATGAATTACACAAACTCCATGATTGCTATTTGCTTCCCTAAGTATTTCTATGAGTTCCTGAATTCGAATCTTCTCAAACACTAATAAAAGTGGCGATTGAAGTTTTTTTCCAGCCGACAATTATAGGGTTCCAAAAAATTAGTTGAGACACGCGTAAATTGATTATTTCAAACGCCCTAATAATTAAAAAAACAAAAACACAAAAAAAAAGTATTACTCCCTTTTAGCTAAGAGTTGAACAACAGTCCATGCATGGAGCACATGAAATTTTCATTTTATTAAACAACTTTTGAATCGCTCTTTGATTTGTGTGTCATGTCCCACCAAATTCAATATTATAAAATCAACTTTGGATCTCTAGATATGCTTCCTCTTAAGTAAATCACATTAAAAAGTGATTTTGGTAAAGGCACTTTCTAGGGGAAGAAGCACTTTTTTCATTTTCCTTCTTTCTTTGATTAGTTGTTGGTTTTACTTTTAGTCAAAGTTGCACCAAAACTAATCATAATTGACTTCTTTTAATCACTAAACTAAATTTTTTTTTTTCCTTTTTTTTTTCTTTTTAAAGATAATTAATTGTGATTATTATGGTTTTGGTGAAAGGGGAATCTTATTATAAAAATTAAAAAAAAAAAAAGTTAAAACAACTCCACCTTCTAACTAATTCAATCATATCAAAATTAATCACAATTATTTCAATAATTAAATATTTATTCCTACTCCTTGTTGAATTTTTAAATGTAACATTAATAATACTATAATGATATAAATGTCGTACATATAAAGATAAACATCAAAGTCATAATTAGGTACATTATAAATTTATAATTTATAAGGGTTAACATAGAGAATGTTAAATTATTTTACTTTCGCATTATGTAAATAAGAAAATAATATATGGTTTTTTACAGTCACATTTAAAGGCTAAATATATGGCTTATATTATCTCGAAAAGACTAAACATGGAAGGTGAAAAACAAGGGCCACAAATAAACCACAATCACATATAGGTACCAAGACTGGAACGGGGAAGCATGAAAATGAAATAAAACCAACTAGTTAAATACGTCACAGCTTTGAAAGCTGAAAAGACGCATCAAGAGATGAAAAAATGGTCAAATGAGTGGGAAAGTGTCGTTTTAAAACTTGCTAGGTGGGCAAATGTTGTTTCCCTAAACCTAGGTGGGAACATGTCATTCTCCACGTGGAATTTTACTGAGTACGTACGTGTGAACCACTCCTATATATTTTCCACTTGTCATAAAGTTTAGAGTGAGCATATAATTTATAAAAGGGAGAACGAGTTTGCCCACCCAAGGTTTGACGAAATGACACTTTCCCACCCATCAAGTTTCAAAATGACACTTTCCCACCCATCATTAAGATCCATTAATGAAATCTGTTATTTGACAAGAATAAAATTATAAAAATACTATAATACCCTTATTATTTGAGTTTATAATTTTATAAAATTTGCTATAATTAAAAAATATTCTAAATCTTTTTTTCTTTTAAAAACTCAATTTACTATCATCTTTATGCAAAAACATCTCTCTCACCCACCGCCTAACCGACGCCACCACTCCCTCTTGTTCATGGCAAGCCAACAACAGCATCACCAACGGTGTCATATTTGTTTTTGCGCCACTCCCTCTTGCCCAAAACAATTTTCTTTGTCAAATCAATGGGTCTCGGGTGGCAACCTCCCTCTCTCCTCCAACAAGCCCACCACAATTACTC